CTCACTTGAGAGTTAAAACAATGAGAAATGAAGAAAAGCAACAATATATTTAAGCAATAGTGTTAAAATAGGAAAATATGTCTCGCCAAGAAAAATGGAAGTTATGATACCAAGGCTTTAGGCATCGAAGGCGTCATGGGTATTAGTTGCTTGCACTTTTTAAGAGCAAGTTCCTCAATCCTCTGAGTGTCAACAGTTAACTGCGAAACAATTAAAGAAAGAAACTAAATCCCGTGCTAGTGAAATCACCAAGCAAAAGAAACAAGAAATCACTATCTTATTCTATAATTTACCTGAGTGTTACCAACTTGGGATGGTGCCTGAGCCAATGCTTCTGCCATGTTTAATCCTGACATTGTAATTCCTGCTGCAGATGCCTGACATGTGGGAGCAGCTTGTAGGACAGGTGAGATTATGGTTCCATTAGTTTCAACTTTTACCGGTACTTCTGCCAGAGCTGAAGTTCCAAATATGACCGAAGAAACAACGGGAAGACTCTGAACAGCAGTTCTAAGGCCAAGAGGTGATACATCACCTGTGTCTGAAAAACCATGCTTCCCTTCAGCTCGAAGAGATGGAAAGTCTTTCTCAAACGAGGTTTTGCTAATGCTGCTACTTACAGTTCCCACAGAAGGAACAATATTATTTCCACTACTTCCAAGGTTTTTAGGCCAGGTGTTGACTTGCCTTCCAGCTATCATGGACTGGGAGCGCCTCAAGGCATCTTTTTCAGCCCCAACTCCAAGAAATGAATCACGATGATCGAAACCATTATCAACCAAAACTGACTTAATTTCCCTCTCACGGGAATCAAAATCCTTTTCCTGGTTTCTATCTCGAGACCTTCTGAAACTACTGTAAGCCTGTGATTTACCAGAGCTGCCTTTATCATAAATTCCAGAACCATTAGAGCTCAAACTCCTTAGCAAGTTCCTGTCTTGGTCGCCAAGTGATTTATCTCTTGAGCCAAGCCCTACACCATTTTCACCAGCAGGAATAAAAGAAATATGTTAGCAGGAAAGATCATTATGACAAAACTGCAATAAAGGTAACAGTCATGTGGAATAAGAACTACCAGAATGTTTGGAAGAGTTGGATTGCAGGGCATTGTTGGAAGTGCTCCCGTTTGGAAATTTGTACCACTGTGGAACCAATGCCGGCTCACCTCGGTCCATTTTCAGTCCAGACCATTATCTATATACAGTTAAAACCTTCTACCTTCGGATCCAATCTATAACCAAATGAATATCATTTTCCTATACAAGATATGCTATCACAATAATTCCAGCATACTACTTCCAAAAGGCAAACCCTTGGCTTCAAGTCGCTACCATGGGCACAAAATTAGCGGTCATCTCAGAAGCAAGATTTACTCTACCAAAAACTTTAAACTGCACAGAAACTCCACAGGTACACACTAGTGCTTAAACTTGAAACCCAGTGCTTTCAAGAGAACCAATGTTTGCAAATTTCAAATATCCCACTAAATTAGCATCACTAAGTGCAAGATTTTACTCTGCTGGAAACTTTAAGCACATACAAAGCCCTCTCCAGAGAAATGCGAATGCTAAAGCTTCAATGCAGTTCTCCAGAAAGGTCCAAAATTTGTAATAAGCGTCACCAAGAGCGACAATTAGTGCGTCTGCCTGAGATTGTAAACCGCACAAAAACCCTCTACGCGAATGCTTAAGCTTCAACACCGAGTCCTGCCGAGACGGCCAAGATATATACGCTTCAAACACCCATGGGATGCCACTATAACCAATATTCAGGCAGGGATCGCCTCAAAAAAACCTTCAAACGAACCACAAGAAGGGAAGAACCCTAATGATCAATAAGGGGCAACCATCCATACAGGCAGCCAAAAGCCCAAAAGACGGCGCCGGATCAAGAACGGCGAACCCTAGACTCTGAATAGAGGGACTGAAAAGAAAAATCGGGAAGAGGGCAAGAGAACAAAGGGGCACAAACTTAGGGTGCACTCAAACCCTAACGGACATCGGATTGATGCCCCCAGAAGTAGAAGAGAACGGAGAAGAAATCCTTACGGCAGGAGGATGTTTTCTACGAACTCCCGGCCGATTCGATCGGTTCGGCGGCGTCGGCGAGGAAGGAATTCTCTCTGATCTCTCTAAACAGGAGGAGCAGAAGGAGGGGGAGGGATGGAAAGGGGGCAACTGCTTGGTTTATTGGTCGCGTTCTCTGTCGATCTCTACGCTTCTACGCTCGCTCTCTTTCGTTCGTTCTGTGCGCTTCTGCTATCGCTCGCAATGTTTCGCGCTGTCTTCTGTCTCTCGCTCGAGTTGTTGCGTTCTCCTTCGGCTTGGGAAAACCTACGAATCGGTGGTCGCGATGATGATGCTCGGTTTCGGCACAACAAACTTGGCATGTAGGCTCGTTATGGCAAGCCGCACCTCTCGATCTTGCTTCAGATGCGCGGTTTGATTTGGTCCGGTTTATACAGACAGAACGTCTCGAATGGACCGAACCAAACCACAATGTCATATGTTTGGGTTTGACTGCTGGTTCGATTTGAAGTATTCCAACCATTATAATTATATTTAATTAGCATTTTAATTAAATTTCTAACTCTTCAAAAGATAATCTAAGGATCAAAAGATCCAAAATGATAAAGGATTGCCACTTTACATCTAATAAAAAATTTACTAATAGTTCACCACCACTCAAAATTCATATCATCCTCCGTCGGCTTATATGTGAATATAAGCTTCTCTCTCATTCATTATGGTATGGCAAGACAAAGAAGAGAAATATAAATTCCCTTCGCTTTCTTTATGATAAAACAAGACAATCATAATTTTTGTATATATATAAAAATGTATAAAGAAATTTTTTTAAAGAGAACTACTCTAATCCATGTTTGAGAATATCAGATTATTAACTTGAATGTCAGAAAGATCAGATTAGAAAACCTCCTCCGACCCTGATTTTCGTATAAGTGGTACCTTGAAACTCAACATCTTAGGATTCGACATCTCGGAGCTCAAACTTCTCATAGCTACATCAGGAGAATGACTTGTACACATCAAAAGCCTCCTGAATATACATATGCACATAAGTCTAAACCATGTTAGGTTGACTAGAACGTCAATACCAAGTTCTTTTAGACAAATAATCAGAATTTTATTAATACAAACAGCACGTTAATCTTTCTCAAATTTCTATCTAAATTCAATCTACCAAAGGTCAAACGCTCAAGACGACCCGATAAATCCTTAGGGATGATATCGACTAGCATATATTACGTTGACTATTGATAGCAATGTCTTAAATTAGATCTCATCGTCATCGTTTAACCTTTACGAAGAAAAGAAAATAAGATAAGGTTTTAGATTTGAGATACAACTGGATCATTTGATTGATGAGCAATGAACCAAGCTCAAGAAGACCCTGTGCTGGTGAGGTTGCCAAAGGAATGCAGTTGAAACAAGCCTTACTTGGGTCAGAAGTATATTTCCAACATGTCCACCTTCATAAGTGATAACTGTAGAGAGCTAACTTGCCAAAGTAAATGCACCATTTCAGTAATTAGATGGAACAAATGACAGTAATGTAGGAAAAAAATCAATAATAGATTGCATAAAATGTGCCTAAACAAACTCATGGAACTGAAGATCATGAAAAAAGAGTTCAGCATTGGGCATCAACCAAGAGATGATATGCTGTAAATACTATCCAATTTTATGACACATTGCATCAGTATTAACCTTCTAAACATGAAATAATACACTAAGAATGTGATCATCATGATACAACTCCAACCACAACCAACACAGCAAAACTTGAGATGTTTGTACCTTGTAAAATCAAGATAAATCAAGAAGCAAAAACATGGCAGGAGCACACCTTTTCATGAACCACAAATATGTTTCCAACATGTCTTAGTCTTTGGCGAGAGCTAATTTCTCTGATAAATGCAGCTTAGCTTCCATTCCTTCATTGAAGCAAATGGCAAACCGCTCAATGTCGGAAGAATCAGACCAAGAGTGCACATTTTTAATGTTCTATCCAGTATGGCAACCTGACTGCATTAGCAGACAAAGAAAATCTAAAATGCAGATGGGAAGACTGGCAAAGAACTGAAGCATACAAACTAACTTCCAGCAAATTAGTCATCAGATCTACTGTGAACATCACCAATGTTTCAAAGGAAATGAAGGTCAGGGCCACAAAATGACCTCTCAGCATTAGCCACTCTCTGAACTTAAGGACTGCACTGGTTTGAAATCCACCATGTTCTCGACTCCCGGAAAGAAACAGAGCTTATATCTCCAAGATACCAGCACACAAATAAAGAATATGGAATACATTAAGACATACCTCAGGCATGTAATTGCAGGCAGATGTCACCTCTGAGATACATTGTATACATAAGCTGATGCTCCATGTCAAACAAGCTACACAAGATAATCAAACCAATGACTAGGAGTTGTGCATTTCACCTCCATTTGTTTCCTCAATTTGTCTTCTTTGAAGATTGGTACTTTTATCTTCCCCAAGATATTAGGAAAGTATGATGATTTTGCCATGGCATTGTAGAAATAGTACTTCAAACTTCTTAATCTAAATGGTTTTTTAATAGTAAAATATGTCGGTCTAGTTTTAATTTGAAGCAAATAAATGGTGTAGCTTTACTTGAGACAGCTGAGTGACGAAGAAAGTATATTTTATTGATAGCTTCTCTGATATATTCTGGGATTCTGAGTTTGGCGGCGCCTAAGTCTGTGTTGCGCACTCTACACGTATCACCGTTTTCCAGACCGCGAGCGCCGCCATCAGTGTCCCCGCTTCACACCTCTGTGATCTATCGTAGATATATGGGGTCGATCCAATTGCCGCCGTTCCTTCCTCCGCTACTGTGCCTCTCTTCTTCCCCGGTGGGTTCTATTAATATATATGTAAACCGTCCCCATTTCCCTTTCGTGCTTGCTAACAGAAGAGTTGAAGCTCCTCTTGTTTCCTAAATGCTTACTCCTGCCATGGCGGCGTCTATCGACAACCGACGGTTTGGCAAGGCGAAAGTACGGTGCTACGGCGGCCTGGACGACGAGGACGAGGATGAGGAGGTGGCAGGCTGGAAAAAGAAGTATGGCGGCGGCCACCACGAGGCGGAGCCGGCGGTGCATGACCCGAGGGACGAGGGTACCGCCGACAGCTGGGTGGAGCGTAGCCCCTCCCTGATCCGGCTTACCGGGAAGCATCCCCTCAACTGCGAGCCACCGCTGGGCCAGCTCATGCACCACGGGTTCATCACCCCAGTCCCGCTCCACTACGTCCGGAACCACGGGGCCGTCCCCAGGGCCGATTGGGGGACTTGGACGGTGGAGATCACCGGCCTGGTGAAGCGACCGGTCCGGCTCACCATGGACGAGCTGGTCCGTGACTTCCCCCCGGTCGAGATCCCGGTCACCTTGGTTTGCGCCGGGAACCGGCGCAAGGAGCAGAACATGGTGCGCCAGACCATGGGGTTCAATTGGGGCCCGGCAGCCATATCCACCGCGGTGTGGCGCGGCGCCCGGCTCCGGGACGTGCTACGCCGGTGCGGCATCAGGGACCGCAAGGACGGCGTCCTCTTTGTGTGCTTCGAGGGAGCGGAGGACCTCCCTGGCGGCGGCGGTTCCAAGTACGGGACGAGCCTCAGGCGTGAAGCGGCCATGGACGCGTCGAGAGACGTCATGCTCGCCTACATGCAGAACGGCGAGCTGCTTAAGCCGGACCACGGATTCCCGGTGCGCATCATCATCCCGGGCTTCATCGGTGGCCGAATGGTCAAGTGGCTCAGGCGCATCATCGTCGCACCGCAAGAGTCCAACAGCTATTACCATTATAAGGACAACCGCGTCCTTCCCTCTCACGTTGACGCGGAGCTCGCTGACGCCGAAGGTAATGGGATCGCCATTATCTACCCATACAAATCATCACAATAAATGACTGATATTATTATTTTTCCGAAGCTTGGTGGTACAAGCCGGAATATATCATCAACGAGCTCAACATCAACTCGGTGATCATCACGCCAGGCCACGACGAGATGCTTCCCGTCGACACCTCCACGATCCAAAAGCCCTACTTAATGAGAGGTTATGCGTACTCTGGTATGTTATATACTGATTACCAACTTAATTAATTGGATATGCCTATTCTTAGTTGGATATATCATCATGTAATTACTAGCCGGTGTCCGTTTTTATCTGTCCGATATACACAGATCGTGATGTCATATTTCATAAGAAGATGGCATCATCTACGAGACATCATTCTTTAAATATACTGTATCCTATGCTACATCCTGCATTTATGACATTGTCACATTCGCCAGTTTGGTTACGCACCCGATATTGCATTTTGTGATTGAGGAAATAATCATAAAAGAAGATAATGTCAAGTAAAATAAATGTGCATTGTGCGCGTCGTACCCAAGTCATCAGAAGCAAAGCTTTCATCGGGCGTCATCGTGGATAGAGTCTGCGGAAAGAACTTAGTATCATCTGGTTTGTGTCGAACAGGTGGCGGAAGGAAGGTGACACGAGTCGAGATAACATACGACGGTGGGGAGACGTGGATGCCGTGCGCGCTCCACCACCCTGAGAAGCCCAACAAGTTCGGCAAGTACTGGTGCTGGTGCTTCTGGTCCGTGGCTGTGGAGGTGACGGACCTGCTCGGCGTCAAGGAGGTGGCGGTCCGGGCGTGGGATGAGTCCCTCAACACCCAGCCCGAGAAGCTCATCTGGAACGTCATGGTAACCCGTTCTCGCTATCGAGTTGGTCGATTGGCTTTGGTTCTCAAATGGTGGTGGTGCAGGGGATGATGAACAACTGCTGGTTCAAGGTGAAGGTGAACGTGCGCCGGCACCAGAAGGACGAGATCGGGCTGGTGTTCGAGCACCCAACGCAGCCCGGGAGCCAGTCGGGCGGGTGGATGGCGCCGCAGAAGCACCTTGAGACGTCGGAGGTGGCGTCGATGAAGAAGAGCGTCTCCACCCCCTTCATGAGCACCTCCACCAAGCGGTACGCCATGTCCGAGGTGCGCGAACACGCGTCCGCCGCCTCCGCCTGGATCGTCGTTCACGGCCACGTCTACGACTGCACCGCCTTCATCAAGGACCACCCCGGTGGCGCCGACAGCATCCTCGTCAACGCTGGTAGCGACTGCACCGAGGAGTTCGACGCCATCCACTCCGACAAGGCAAGGGCCCTCCTCGAAGCCTACCGCATCGGCGAGCTCGCGCCCTCGGGTAATACCTTCGAGGCCTCCCTTCGTGCCACCATCCGCGAGGTCTCGAGGCCCCTGGCTCTCGTTAGCCCCCATGAGATGGTGCAGTGCAAGCTCGTGTCGAGGAAGGCCGCATCGCGCGACGTTCGCCTCTTCCGCTTCGCGCTCCCCTCAGCGGACCAAGTGCTGGGCCTCCCCGTCGGGAAGCACATCTTCCTCTACGCTACCATCGACGACAAGCTCTGCATGCGGCCATACACGCCCACGAGCTCCGTCGACGATGTCGGCCACTTCGAGCTCCTGATCAAGGTCTACTTCAAGGGCGAGAACGCCAGATTCCCCAATGGCGGCCTCATGTCCCAGCACTTGGAATCGCTGCCGGTCGGCTCCACCCTCGACGTCAAGGGACCGTTCGGCCACATCGAGTATACCGGCCGAGGCAACTTCCTCGTCCAAGGCAAGCCGAGGATCGCGAAGCGGCTCGCAATGATCGCCGGCGGGACCGGGATCACGCCGGTGTACCAGGTGATCCGGGCGGCGCTGCAGGACCCGGAAGACCACACCGAGATGCACCTGGTGTACGCGAACCGGACGGCGGAGGACATACTGCTGCGGGAGGAGCTCGACGGCTGGGCGCGGGAGCACCCGGCGCAGCTCAAGGCGTGGTACGTGATCAGCGAGGTGAAGCAGGGCGAGCGGTGGCGGTACAGCACGGGGCGCGTCACCGAGAGCATTCTGAGGGGGCACATTCCGGTCGGCGGCTCCGACGACACGCTCGTGCTCGCCTGCGGGCCGCCACCGATGATCCAGCTTGCCGTGGTGCCCAATCTGGAGAAGATGGGGTACGACACCGCCAATTCACTACTAATGTTCTAAATGCTGTCGAACTGGGCTGCAAAACTCCTCCCTTCTCCATCCTACCAAGAGGAACGGAGCACTAAGAAAGCTATAATGGAATCTTTCATTTAATTGAATACCATGCATGCCATTTGGCTTCAAAATCCTTCAAACGATAATGCTAATCATCCTGATTCCAGATGTTATAGTGCTACCTGACCACCAGCAGAGAAGAGAGAAGATACGTGATATATCTTGTCATGTTTCACAACGTCTCTTGCACCTCTAGTTGGACTCCACAGACTTCAAGATTGTCTGAGGAGCCAACCGACAAATGAAAGCCTTCCGTGGCGGCAACGAAGGGCCGTGAGCTCTCATCTCATCGCTACCGACAAACGGAAGCCTTCCGTCGGGGCTCGAAGAGGCCACGGCCCTTCGATGCCCCCAGTGGCTGCAGGTACGTGAGGGTTTCCCTACTGCATGGTTTTCACGTACCGCCCACCGCTCCTCGCATGGGGCCTGTGACCTTTCGCTCGCTAAAGCGAGCTGATGGGGCCCAGGAGACAACCGACGTAGTATCTAGGGAACCAGCGACGAGATGCAACGTGAGGAACACGATATTGCTGTCGTATGGCGTAGTATCATGCTCGAAGACTCACATTGATAACGAAAACGCTTACATACTTATTTCGATCTTATTGGACTCGTGCCACTCGAATTCAGACTTTTGACTATTATACTCGAAGACTCACATTGATAACGAGGACGATTATACTTTTATCTCCATCTTATTGGACTCGTGTCATCTCAAATTCGAGAAACGTGCAATAATCGTGACATGGTTTATAGCATCTAGGAATTACTTCATGTCGTTCATATGATATTGAAATATTAGGCATGTGGTGCTAAGTCATCAAAGTAGGTGTCGATGATATAGCACTAGAGCGTCGACTATTTGACAAGTATCAACCATATAGGACCTAAGTGACAGCTACAGAGGTATTTATCATGTAGCACCAAGGTGTCAATGATGTGACGTGACATGGAGCACACAACACCACGTTGTCGACTAGGTGAGAAGTGTCGATTATATCATTATTCTCTTATCAGACCTATCACATCTCAAATTATTCTTAATATTGTTCACATCCTTAACTAGATTTTGACATGATATTCCATGTCATCATATTTATTATTTATAACCACTATGTTAAGAACACAAGCAAAAGATCTTAAGATGCCATAGAATGTCATCAAAATATGCACCAAGAAATTAATGCAAGCAGTAGAGACAAAAGAAATGTTTGGTGAAAGTAATCACAATCAGGTATATAAAAACACAGATATGTGATAAGCACCTACTTTCTCTGGCACGCTTATAGAATGTCCATTGTTCATGTATTATAAGCAACTATGACAGTAAAATCTTATACTATTACTTGTGAACACCAACACAGAGACATTTCATGCACTGAACTTGGAAATGATCAAAGCATTTTAGTAAACAAATGTATAAAATATATATGTATTATATTTTCAAAAGGATCCTAGATTAAATTCTTGGGTAGTACCATCTACATGATCTAAAGCTGAAATCCTTTCAAGATGAACCAACAGGCTGAGGAACTTATTGGTGAAGATTAATATCTTTTTGTGGTCTAACTGCACAATTCTTCATTTCCAATTTAAATAAGCTGCTGTGACTATCAGTGAGTGTTTATGATAGTCAATCTACAGAACTCCTAATCATAGTATGGTGCATCTTTCACTTTTCAATAACTAAGCATATTAGTGATTCTCACACCCACAACATGCAACTACAAAAAACTGTGAAGCCTACGCATGAGCTTGAAGAATTCAAAGTCACTGAGAGTGCATTACCTCCCATTAAAATGGAACTATGAGTTTAGATAGAAGCTGGAGATGACATGAATGAAAAACAACATCTGTGCAGGCGACTTCTGCCCCTGACTTCCACTTACCTAAAGATTACAAATTTCAACAGTAGCAACCATCACACCATCTATTAAAGACTCAAATGTTCCACAAAACACATCCAAATTAAGAGCACTAAACTAATCACTAATATGCTAGGAATATGATCTCCAAAATCTTATTATGATAAAATTGTTTCAATTTATTGAAGGAACATGGTATTCCTTTTCTCGATGGTGTATCAAGCAGAACAAATAACAATTAGATATACCCTGATTTCGACTACTAATATTTAACACCTTTTGTACTTGCATAAGAAACCACAAAGTATCCTCTTTCAGTAGACTCCAAACTCCAAACTGCTTATGCATGATGTCCTTCTAAATTCTCAGCAATAAGAGAAACAACTAAAATTGTACCAAGATTGATCCTATATCCCCTCTGAAATTTTCAGTCTTTGTTATATTGATTCCTTAATTTTGGAGGCACGGCTTGCCGCTTTTCCAAATTCCTATAAAAGGGCAAATCTCTTAGGCTGAAACTTCTATTGATGATATTGGAAAAATCAATTATGTTCTGCCAGTCAAATCCTTTTCTCACCACCTCCTTCTTTCTTGCCAAAAACAAAAAAAAATTGGGGAAGGTAAGCAGCTTCGGAGATGGTCCTTTCTCTATCCTTGTTTTGGTGTAACTACAAATAGGTTATTCCAAGAACTTCTATAAACCTGAAAGGGGGAAATGCATGGTTCCTAAGGGTTTCATTCATATTTAAATATGTATTTTATAATCCTCAAATATTTCTAAAAATTAGTTGCATATGGTAATAAAATCTTAATGTTATTTGTAATTGTTATTCTTATAAATATAAGGCTGACATTATTAGATTTTTTTTAAGTATTCATTTATTAATTTATTCTATAGTGTTTTCATCAATCAGGTCTATGAGCCTTTTAATAAGCAATGCTAGATTAGTATCTAATACACCCAATGTGAAGTATATATAATCTAATCAGTCTGAATAATTTGAACTAGAGAGGATAAAGACACGGGAAGCACGAGAGTATATGAAAAAAATACCATAATAAAATATAAAACAACATTACCATCTTGAGTTTTCAAAATATGATAAATTATTGATATCATTCATGTTTTACAATTAGATAAAATATTAATATCTTCAACATTCACTCAGAATTATTTATACTTGATTAATATCATTCTTATAGAATAATATTATTACATTTGGGTATACAATCCTAAATTATAAAGATATCCAAAATAGTATTGTCCTATCCCATTCCATAATTATTCTAAGTAAATTCTCCTATGAGATTATCTAAATCTCATAATTATGTGTGTTATTATGAATATTACTTTTTAAATATCATTTAGGACTAATTATTTAATATAATTTTATAAATTATTAGTCTAGACTATTTTAGCGGTTATAAGACCAATACAATAACACAAAATATAATTTAAAATATCCTATAAATGATAAAATATTTATTATAATTCTATCTCATAAGTCTACCATCCGATGCCAATTTAATAACTACAAACCTAGATAAAATTTAAAGATATAAGTTACAAATAATATTCATTAAATATTTTTTAATCTAATTGTGTAGTATTGATAAATAAAAATTAATTATAATAATTATTGAACAAAAAATTTAATCAAAACAAAAACTCATATGACGATAATAATCATAACAAAACAAAATTCATGACTTTATATGAAAATAAACATCAATTTAAAAATGTATACATGTGAATAAATACATAAATATCTAAGAACAATAATTAAAATTTAATTATCATTAGCAAAAATTTTACCAATAAGTCATATGAGAAAACTAAAAAAAATTATTATTATATATATATAATTCTATAAATTGCCTAAATGGGTCGATCAATCTTATTTAATTGGACATCCCAAATTAGGCCAATTCGAATTAGACTACCCAGAATAGATCCAATAGTCAACCCAATCAAATCAATCAAAATTGGGTAAAAATTGGGCTTCGACCAAAATTTGATTAAAGCATGTCAAATTAGTCAATTTTATAGTTGAGGACATAAGTCCGAAATATTTAATTTTTGAACAGTAAAACTATAATTTTATAGGGATATATATATATATATATATATATATATATATATATATATATATATATATATATATTGAAAATACATAATTTTTTAAGAGTAAAACTATCACAGGAGGACATCGACTGGAATCAATAGATTCCATAAGGGCAAAATTTACCTTTACTAGGGTAGAAGCCTTAAAACCCTAAAACCTTCACTTTTTCGTCGATTGCCGTTGAACCACAATGCGCACGTGCACGCCCTCTCTAATTGGTTCGACCATGGCTAGTATAGTCACACGCTCTTCACCGATGGCCAACGTTGCTTGGTGACATAATAAAGCCTTACTAGTCGACCATCATGAATATCCACATGACCTCTTTTGTAGCATCAAGGCCACCCACGGTCCTTATTAAACTAGGAGCCTTGTCGCTTTCCAGTAGCACAAATGTCCCTTGCTATCATTCGTGTTGCATTGTCTATCATTCGTATGTCGGTGCCTAACTATGCCACACACGGCAACGATAAACTCACTGCCACCAATGCTTTAGTGATCGTTGATAATGTTGCTCGCGACATTGCGTTCGATGCCACGGTATCAATTTAAAATATATCCATGGCAATCTGAAAACCTACCATTGTTAATTAAAACTCCTAATTATATTAAATTTTAAATAAACTCACTATGATTATAAAAAAAAAAGAGAAGTACAAATATTTAGATATCTTTTTTAACTTGAATAATTAGTGTTAAACTATAGTTAATCCTTGTTTACTATATTAATGGATATTGACAGAATAAATGCTTGTGAAAGACCATATATATATGTCCATCTGCTATGACATGTATATCTTGAGCAAATATACCATTTAGAATTTAGAAAAAATGTAAAAACTCTTGGAATGAATATTCAATATTTTTTACTATAAAAACTCTTCGATTGTTGTTGCTCATAGATCATTATCATATTTTTTAATTTATAGCTGGCTTGATTAAGGATAAAAGTATATTTTGATTATTTATAGTGTTTTACATTTGGTTTTATAGTATTTTTGATATGGCAGTCAAAACCAAAAAAAAACATTTAAAAAATTAATTTAT